GACAATCCATTGTGTTTTAATTTGCATTTCTCTGGTGATTGGTCATGTTGAGCATCTTTTTCATATATCTATTGACCATCTGTATGTCCTCTTTGGAGAAATTTCTGTTCGGGTCCTCTGCCCATTTTTTTAATCAAAATGTTTGTTTGTTTGTTTGGTGTTAAGTTGTATGAATTATTTATATATTTTGGATATTATCTCCTTACCAGATGTATCATTAGTGAATATCTTCTCGCATTCAGTAGGTTATCTTTTTGTTTTGTTGACAGTTTCCTTTGCTGTACAAAAATGTTTTAGTTTGATGCACTCCCATTTATTTTTTCTTTTGTTTCTCTTGCCCAAAGAGATATATCCAAAAAAATATCACTAAAAGCAATGTCAAAGAGCTCACTGCCTACATTTCCTTCTAGGAGTTTTATGATTTCAAGTCATACATTTAAATCTTTAATTCATTTTTAGTTTATTCTTATATATGGTGTAAGAAAATACATGTGCACTCCTATGTTCACTGCAGCATTATTTACAAAAGCCAATTTGTGAAGCAACCTCAGTGTCCACTGACAGATGAATGGATACAGAAGATGTGGTACATAAAAACTGGAATAATACTTGGCTATAAAAAAGAATGAAATCTTACCATTTGTGACAATGTAGATGGACTTAGAGGGTATTATGCCAAGTGAAATAAGTCAGAAAGAGAAAGAAAAATACCATATGATTTCCTTCTTATGTGGAATCTAAAAAACAAAATAAAGAACAAACAAAACAGAAACAAACTCATAGATATAAAGAATAGAAACTGATGGCTACCAGATGGGAGGGGATTGGAGAACTGGGTGAAAGAGGGGAAGAGATTAGGAAGTACAAATTGGCAGTTACAAAGTAGTCATGAGAAGGTGAAATACATCATAGGGAATAAAGTTAATAATATTGTCATAACTATGTATAGTTCCAGGTGAGCATTAGACTTATCACAGGGGATCACTTCATAAGTTATATAAATGCCTAACCACTATGCTATACACCTGAAAATAATAAAATATTGAATGTCAACTATAATTGAAAAGATTTTTTTTTAATTAAGTAAAAGAATGAGTAGGACATTATGGGAACTCAAATCTATATGAAATAATCAATAATAAGATATGAAGGACAAACTGGAGAGCCATGTGTAACAGTAGTTAACAGTATGGGCTCTGGAGTCACACTATTAAGGTTTGCATCTCAGCATCACCACCATGAATGAAAAGTATAAAAATAATTCCTTAGGATTATTGTGAAAATTAAGTAAGATAATCTTTGTAATGTTAATATATAGAGAATAGCATAGTTATAGAACCAGAAGGTGAATTATGAATTATAAGAGGTTCCCGATATGGTTCATAAAGCTTCCATGTTCTCCTAACTGGGTGAATGTAATAAAGGTAATAAGTAATTGCCAAAAAAAAAAGTAGTTCATTTCTTCAGTAAAAAGCAAAATAGGAAAAGGGAGAGATAGGGGAAAAGCCACATCACACTAATCAAAAGAGAAGTCTTTCATATAAGAGATGGTACTTCTGTTGATCCTAAAAGCTAGACATGATTTACAAAGAGAGAGATAGAGAATGAGAAGAAAAGTACAATGAAAGCCAAAGATTTGTAGTTGTATGACTGTGAGACCTGTAGCACAGCCATAGTTCTGTCACTAATTGGCTATGAATTTTGGGGTAAATTAATTATCCTGGGCCTAAATTTATTTTCCTGTGATATTATCGGTTTTATGAATTACATTATCGCTTCATATGTATTCTATATTTCAATCATCTTCATTCATAGTCCTCTAGAGTTTAAAAATTCACATGGGAACTACAATATATACCAGCATCCACCAGATGGCAATATATGGCTTTGTAAATGAATGTCTTTTCATAGAAAATGAAGATGTTTAATAATCAAACAAGAGTATATTTCAAGTTCTCCAGAAAACACAGAGAGAAAAGATTAACTATTTCCTCATACTGAAGTCATTATGATAACTTATAAAGAGAAAGCGTATGTTTTTATTTTAGACCCAAGACTATTAAAGTGTCATCATTGTTAGGACATTCTGTTCATCATTTACTGCCAGCGTGGGTTATTTCATAATAAGGAAGAAAACACAGACTTATTTGCATGGCATCCAATTCTGAATTGAGCTAATACGACAACTCAAAGATCTTTACCCTCAAAGTACCAAGGCAATCATTCTTAAACTTTTTCATCATAAAGAGCCTACATATTCTGCCATATCTCTTCACTAAAAAAATAAAAAGGGAAAAAAATATATTTCTTTTCAGCACGATATATTTTTTTCAGATGGTGTCAACAATATCATTTTTAAGAGCAAGAGTAAACTATCCTTATTTTTAAAGTTTTGTCTATTCAAAAAATAGAAAGAAGAAGATGAAAATCATCTTTAAGCAATAACAATATTAAAATGTTTCTATCAAACTACTTCTGGTAGATAGGAAAGAAATATAGATGCAGCTTTTTATTCTTAAATTAAAAATATTTTGAAATCTTTCCATGTTAATAAATATAGTATTTTATTAATGATCATTAGCATTCATTCATTCACAGATATTTACAAAATTTATATAGAAGGTATTCTGAGGCAACATATTTTAACTGAAATGGCTGGCCTTTCCCGATAACAGTATTCTTTACAAAATTGACAGAAATGGCCCCATGTAAAGATGAGTAATGATTAGAAAGGGACCTACGCAGAGAAAGACAATGGAACATAACAGAAAATGACAAATGAGATGATGAAAAATACGTATCAGAAAAATTTTGCCTAGAAGCAACAAATAGGCAATAACCTGAAAACAGTGAATAATTTCATGACTTCTTTATCTCAATAAAGGGGTGAAAGGAACACTTCCAAAAACTACATGGGTAACATGTAGAGAAGGCTAGAAAAAGAAAGTTAAAACGTAATGCAAAGACCAAAGTTGAAAGTAAGCTGAGACAAAATGGCAGATATGGGGGGGAGATACTTTGTATTTTTTAAGATATTCTAAGATCATAATAAATGAACTAGAAATAATTCTTCAAATATCAGAAGAAAACTTAGCTGAAAATAGGGGGAAAACTGAATCTTCAAGTAAAAAATAAATAATATGTCCCACACAAAACTGACACAAAACTATTAAATAACTTTATGAAATGCCTGGACTCAAAGATAAATTAAAAAGGTGCCTCCGAAATAAAGTATCTATGAAAGGCTAACAGTAAAAAGGATGTAACAAAGAAATTTAATGAAGATATATTATGAATCAAATAACATGGTACCAAAAACATCTGAAAGCAAAAATTACCAAAATAAATAAATAAATAAAAACCACAATAATAGTAAGGAAATTAAGTTATTTCTCTAAGCCTAATACACTTCAAGTACTCAAAACATTAGGATATAGAAGATCTAAATAAAATTGTTATTTGGAAGGCCCTTAAACACATCTTACAAGTCAGTCTATGGCACGGTGTTATGTTTTACGTGTCACTAAGAAATACTTTCAAAATGCAATGTTGAAGGGTCTCTTCAGATACAAAATTAAGTAGCCTTTAAAAATTGGAATATGTAATTTATAGTACAATTAAATACACTAACCAATAACTGTGTTTAAGTATAATGTTACAATATGTTATTTAACACAGTCTTGAAATCAATCTAATTATTACAGACTCCATGGCAATAAATTAACCTACTTAAAACAGACTTTGGCAACAGACTAGAGAAAGACATCTTTGAAATCAGTCTTCTACTTTGCCTACAGCTAGCTAATAAATAGTCCAATCTCTTCTATATTATCTAACACTGTACTAGAAAAGAAATTATATTTTTACTGCATAGTGGAACTGACATTCAAGGAAAAGTAAATTACTTTCAAGATATAATAAGCATCTGTGTTCTTTATCAGAGAATAATTTCTATTACAGTTCTAAATTTATGATCTATAAACCATATTTCTTACCAGTTGTCTTTCTTAGAGTGGCATAAAAGGCCATTTCTCAATCAAATTCAGTATCAACTTTAGTTTTGCAACAACAACAAAAAAGCCAAAGGCTATAGGTATGTCAATATCGACCACCATCCCATATAATCTGAAGCCTTGCCCACCATCGCCAAGCTCTACTTTATTATAACTCATGAACTTCAGGGCAATATGAGGCATCCTCTAAAAGTTATGATTTCAATGTGTCAGACTGTTAGACATGATTAAAGACAGGAGAAAAATCAGTGAAACCTGGCACAGGTAGAGGCAAAGCCAAGCCATAGAAAGGGTTTTCTTAAGAATCCAGGTGATGGGGAAATCTATAGAGACAGAAAGTAAAATACAGTTTGCTTAGGGTAAGGGGAAGGGATGGGGATGGAGGTGACAGCTTTAGGATATGGGGTTTCTTTTTGAGGTGATGAAAATGTTCCAAAATTGAGGGTGGTAATGGTTGCATATATTGGTGAATATATCAAATACCACTAAAATGTATACTGTAAATGGATGAATTTTATGGTGTGTGAATTATATCTCAAAGCTGTTTTTTAAGAGGACAAGGGAGAAGATAGGTAAAAAGTGAGCCAACAAATCCCAAGCAAGGAAAAACATGACTCATCATACACGAGACTAATCCGAGGTGAAGTTTGCCAGGGTTCATACACCAATGCTTGTGTCACAAAAACCTCCTTTTCTTCAGGATGGCCACAAAGAGATTACTCTTCTTATAGGCCATACTATTACATACCCATCAAAAATATTTACTTCTTAAAGGCGAGAACAATAAGAAAATCATTCAACTTTTAATGGGTTAAGAAAAAAATTCTATGAGTTTCAGTTTGACCTAGACTCATTGCGAATCAGGCTATAGCATCAGTTTTTAAAATATGCAAATAAAAAGGATCCATACTAATTGAGTTAAACTGAATTCATGCTCTAGCAAAGAAATCCCTTTCCCTGAAGTAAACAGCACAGGCTGAAACTCACGGTTGGTGATGTCACCTTGAAGATGAAGAATCTGCGGAATTGGCATTGTGAGGACAACAATATCAAACTGCTCAGGGGAGGCTGTTTCCTTGAAGACTTCCCACTTGCCATTTCTCAGGTTGATCTGGGTCACACATTGTCTGAAATAGATATCAGCACCTGTTCTAGGAGCAAAATCATGTATATCATAATCAGGATTTTCCATATGGAAGACGGGGAAGAGAACAGTCACCAACTGGATCCACTTAGGAGAATTAAATGGTGCCATTTGTCCTCTACAGCCCCTGGGGTTCACTTTCTTTACTTTCTTTCTCATTAAGTGGGAATTCCTCTCCTTCTGGCACCCTTGGACCTCTCTAACAATGCCTGCTTTAGGTAAAAAAAAAAAATACTATTACAATTAATAATAATAGTAACTATAGCTCATTTTCATTAGGCATCTACAATATGTCAAAACCATGCCAAGCACTTAATATACATCACATAATTAATTTCACAGATAAAGAAACTGATTCAGAAATGTTTGGGCACGATTTAAAGCTACATCCGAGTTTGAAGCTCGTTATCACTGCAGAACAAGTACATATTTTAGTAAAAGTGTTAACAGTTCTCTCTAGTAATAGCAAGAAAGAGCAATATTCCCTATTAAAGGAATTAATATTCTCTATTAAACCTAAAAAAGTTCTCTAAGAGAAATCCAAGGACTAATTACCTTTATTAAGAAGAATCAGAATTAACAGAAATACAATCTAGACTATCTCATCACATTTTCCTTCTTTGAATTTATTATAAAAGTATTTTTAACTATTAAATAACTACTTGAGTAGTTATTTAATATTTTCTTCCTTTTTAATCTGGAAGCCTCACGAGCCAGGAATTACAGATTAAATGTATAACATATAACATATATACTATAGTACTATGTATAACATATAACATATATACTATAGTACTCCACACCTGCCAGGTATTTAATCAATATTTGTTTAAGAGAACAAATTATGAAACTAAAAGATAAGAAAACAAATCATTAAGACTCCTTGGTACAGGATATGAGGTATCACTCACCTCATATTCCAATTTTCAGAAAACTCAGATTTAGAAACAAATCTACTTTTACTTAGCCTCAGAAATAGAAAAGAAAAAAATGAAAAAGAACAAGAGAAAAAAAGTGCATTGAAAGTTAGATACAGAGAACATTTTGATGGTTGCCAGATAGGAGAGGGGTTGAGGAGATGGCTGAAAAGGGTGAAGGAATTAAGATGTACAAATTACCAGTTATAAAAACAGTCATAGGAATACAAAGCATAGCATATGGAATATAGTCAATAATATTGTAATAATTATGTATGGTGTCAGATGTTTACTAGACTTATCAGGGTGATCACTTTGTAAGCTGCATTAATGTGTAATCACTATGTTGTACACCTGATACTAATATAACATTGTATGTCAACTGTATTTGAAAATTTTTAAATTCTTTTTTTTTTTTTAAAAAGCACACTAAAAAATTCAGTTCATCATTATCTGGGACACACGTGTTCCCAGCCAAGACATCTAGCTTAAGTCCAAACTCGGCAAACAACGAAGCTTCATTTCTGCAGCTGCTCCAACTCAATGGGATCCTTCTCATCTATGATGTCCTTCAACCATCACTGCCTTTACCTCTCATTCTGACAATGATCCAAAATATCTGCATGCTTTAAGTATGTCTTATCTATTCAAAAATATTCCGAGCTCCTCCATGTCAGGTCTCCAGGTCTCATGTACCTTTACATCTTTCACTGTCCTTTGAATAATGCTACAACATAATAAGTACTCAAATTTTTTTAATCAAATGCAAATATGTTCGAAGGAACATGGTGCTAACTAGACCCTGGGGCAATCTCTCATTGAGGCAATTAGCATCACTCTGTTCAAAGATTAGAGCAGGAGCTTAAAAAAACAGTGCTTCAAGTTGCCTGAGGATTTCTCTAAGGCTCCTGCTTAGGGAAGGTGCAAATAAATAGAACTTTCAACTCACAACTATCCTCTCCTTTACTCCAACCACAGCAGCTCCACTTCACTCTGTTCTATCTATCTAGGGTGCTGCATCCCCAACTTACTTGCCACACTTGCCTCACTCTGTGTCTGGCCTGGACCTCAACTAAGTAAATTGATTTTGTTTTATCCAATTATGTTTTTACATAATAATCCCTTTGAAAGGAGCATACTTTGTTATCAGTGCTGGTAACTACATTTGTGTTTAAGGGAACTGAAATCCACTGTCCTAAAAATTTTCCATACCCAGCCAAACATCCTGGCCTCAGTGGCCCCAAAGTGTTCTGCAAGGTGTATGTCAGGGATTCTCTAAGTGTGGATCCCAGACCAGCAGCACCAGCAGCAGCTGTAAACTTGTTAGAAATGCACATTCTCAGGCCCCAACTGGATCTACTGAATCAGAATCTCTGGGTGTTTAGGCCCAGTGGTCTGTATAAAACAAGCCCTACCCAAGCTTGCTATGATGCACACTAAAGTGTGAGAACCACTGGAGTAGATGACAGACCCAAATCTAACACAACTGGCAAAATCACCCCAAAGGTAATATCTTCCAAGAGCCAGGGGCGATAGTATGGTTGCTCTTACTAACCAGGAAGTTTTCCTTTCCTACAACTATGAGTGAAGTTTCTAGAATAAGTGGCATTTCCTTGTGAAAGTAATAACTTTCAAAAGGACCACATGTTCAAATCTGTAGGCTCTGAAAACTATCATTTTAAAACAGAGCACTACATAAAATTTCTCAACACTTATTTCTGAGCTTAGTAAATCTGACCACGTCCCTCTTGTGTAATATTCTTCAATGATTTCCCACTGCACAGAAGATAAAGAATAAAATCTTTACCATTGCTTACAAAACCCCTTCTGATCTGGCTCCTGCCTTAGTCTTGAACTTCATCTCTTACCACTTTCTCACTCATTCAATACCCTCCAGTCACAATGACTTTTTAGTTTCCCGAACACCAACTTCCTACATTAGAAGAGTTACAATTTCATGTGTCCAGTGCATGGAATTCTCATCACTCAGCTTTTGGCTTAATTCATTCTTGCTTCCCTTTCAGGTACCTATAAAAACATAAGTTCCTCAGTGACATATTCCCTGACATACTCTCCCCTCACTCTACTGAAACTCAGGTTAGGCCCTCTTATTACAGGCTCCCTCATAACATTCTCACTCCTTATCATTTATTATGTATGTTTTGTATGTGTGTATTATTAGTTTAATGTCCTTCCTCCCCACTATACTCTACATTAACAAAGGCAGGGACCATATCCCTTATTTACCACTGTTTCCCCAGCATGTAACATTTAATAAAAATTTTTAAAATCTGCAATAGCTATAAACATATCAGAACACTAAGAAGGTTTAAACATTTTACAAAGGCAATTGTGTTTTTGTTATATATTTATTCAATTATATCCCCTGCCCTCCTCTAAATAGGTTTAGGGAGCAGTAGTTCAGAACTGATGAGATGGAAACTGAAGAGATATGAACAATATCTAACTAAATGCATTGCTTAAAGTAAATAGAACACTGCAAAATTGGGGCTCCCAGGCTATCCTCTAGCTTATCCCTGAAGGACACTGTTATGGATAAGATCATAATCACCCACCTGGGAGAAATTCTGATACAAAACCTCCGAGGCTCACTTCCACTATCTATATCAATTTTAGAAAGAAAATAAACACAAAAGTAAAAAGGGAGAGAGTGATAAAAGTAAATATATTACCAGAACTAGCCAATGGCATCTGCAAAGTAAACCATCTTTTGTAATAAATCAACTCTGTCAATTTTGACCAGTTATATTGCACATGTTGACTTTACAGATCATTAGCCAATGTCCCTCTTAAAGTAGATGGTCTCATAAAAACAAATAAATGTGGCAATATTTCTCCTATTGGTAGGCCAAACTAAACAAAAGTTTATCGTCCTGTCCTGAAAGCTAAATTCATCCTTTTATGAATAATTTAATAATATGGGCTTATTATTAAATTAGGCTCATCACTCTCCAAATGTCATAAGCAGGGGCCATCAGGTGACTGATCTCTTTGTTTGCATAAAGAAATAAAATGGCATTACTCCTTTATAACTCCTTCCCCTCAGGGCAAGGATTAAAGATGAAAGAGTGGAACTAGGGGAAGGGCACGATGAGGTTGTTCTCTTGAGCCATATGTCCTCTGGCATGTAGCACCAGAGTTGGAGTAGAGCAATCGCTTGTACTATAGGAAAAAAGTCAGGAAGGACAAAGAAGTCCCTACAAAATAAATGTTAAATCAGAGGGTATGAGCACTTCTCATTGCCCTCCATAGGACAGTTAACAGGAAAAGACAACAGGATAAGCTCAAAGGGAGTTCTGCTTCTGTTGCTTACTAGCCGAGCTACCCTAGGCAAAGTACTTAGCCTCCTTGAGTTTCATTTTCCCATTAGTAAATGGGCATAATGATAACTACTTTGAATGGTTGTTGTGAGAATTAGAAATGATGTATGTAAAATGCCTAGCATAGTGTCAGATAAATAGTTAGCACTTAATAAATGATAGAGTAGCTTTTGTTATTTTGAATTTCTCTCACCCCTACAACAACAAAGAAAATAAAACAACAGAAAATAACATTTCATTCACTCAAAGAGAATATTGTATCAATGGGGAAGGCAAGCAGTTGGTAAAATCGATGTCAATAAATACAGTTTTCTCCATAATAAGCTTAATGTGAACATATCAGATAATAAATAAGAACAGAATATAAGGTCAAGAGTCACATGACTATTTCCCCTGCTCTTTACTACTTGTTCTAGAGAATTGGTCTAGTTAAACATTGGCTTTAGAGATTTGAACTTATTCTCAAGCATGTCTGATTAGACATATCCCACACAGATAATTTTTTTGGAAGTCTGGTCCCGATCTAAATGACTACTGGTGGGTTTATGAGATTGTGGGACTGTAAACTCAACTGATTCCAAAATGTAAAGTATTTTTGGAATGAATTGACAATTTGGGTTCTTATGCACTGGGGATATACAAAGGTCATCTTCATTCAAGTAGATTGTTTTTTAGACTAGTATTTAGCAAATGATTACTATGTACTTGGACAATCTTGCTTGGATTGACAATGAGAGCACTTTATCCTTTATTCCTCATAACAACACTTTGTAATAGTTACTGTTACTACTTTCATTTTTCCAACCAAAGAACCAAGGTATGGATTTTAAAACTCTCCTAACATGGCATAGTGAAGAAGGGACGGTAGAACGTTAATTTGAATCCAGGTATTCTGATTTCAGGGACTTTCTCAACTTACTTTGTGAAAACACTAATAGAATTGAAAACTTTAGAGAAGCTTAAAGGATATTTAAGGATATAATTGTAAAATTAAAAATCGTATAAAGAGGGTCTACAAATCCTATAATAAAATATCTGGATAGGGGAGGAAAAGACTCTTGAAGCATTAGAAAGATAATATTTTTTTTAAAAAGTTTACATACACTCAAATTATGTAGACCTTGAACTCAATTATATAAAAATCCATTTCTTTAAAAAGCAGAAATAATGTCATAAATTGGGCTTACTATTGATTTATATTTTATAATGATATTTTCCTGCTATTCTTCTGTATTTTCCAAATTTTCTACTAGTAGTATGTAATTCTTTTTTTAGGTTACTTTTTGAAATAAAAAATATTTTACATAGTGATAAAAAAATCTACAAAATTCACTGTCTCAAGAAGCTGTACAAATTGGAAATATAAATAGGTTTTTACTAAGGATTGGTTAAATTAGAACTGATAATCATCTAATAAACATATTTATTAGAAATACCTATCACTATACCTACCTACTATGTATAAGGTACTGTTATATTCTGGGTAAGCTACAAATAATTAAATGTGACCTCTTTTCCCAAGAGCTTCTGCAAAAAATTTGGAAGATAAAAACATATATTTCCCCAAACACCTAACAAAATAAAGATGTATTCTGTATGTATTCAAGGACTGTCCCTCTGCCAGAATATTAGCTATGTGGGGACAGGGACTTTGGTTTGTGTACCGTTAATGCCTGAAACAGTGTCTGGCAAATAGTAAATACTCAATAAATGTTTATTGAATAAATAAATGTACGCATGCATAGATGGATAGATACATAATACAGTTAGTAAGTACTTAAGAATGTAAATAAGTATGCATATTTTACTTGGGTCAAGTGAAAACCATGATGGAAATGATATTTTAAAAAGTTATATGGTGGCAACATATGAAGCTGATGGTGAATTTCTATAAAACGTCCAATGTTCTCACCATCTGTGGTAGTTAATCTTATGGGTCATAGAATGCCCAGATACTGGGTCAAATATTATTCTGGGTCTGTCTGTGAGGGTATTTTAGATGAGATTAACATTTCAATTGGTAGACTGAGTAAAGCAGTCAGGCTCATCCAATTAGTCCAAAGCCTGATTAAAAAAAAAAGGGGCGGGGGCTGACTCTCCCACAAGTAAAGAATTCTTCTTGCCAATAGGCTTTGAACAGGGACTTTGGTTTTTTTCTCTGCATTCGGACTTGAATTGAAACATCAGCTCTTCCTGGATCTCCAGCCTACTAGCCTTCAGATTGGAACTATACCATCAGCTATCTGCTTCTGAGGCCTTTGGACTGGAACTAAACCATTGACTCTCTTGGGTCTCCAGCTTGCCAACTCACCCTGCAAGATATATAAAATCTCAATCTTATTGGTTCTGTTTCTCTGGAAAATCTTAACTAATATACCATCATAGCCTAAATCTTAGATAGATAAATGTTCTAATCAGCAATGGTATTTACTATGTTCTCACATTGTATATTCAATCTCACTGACCTCTCCTATGCCCAGTATCAGGGATTCTTGGGGTTCTCAATAAGTAATATTTAATGAACACCGAAACAGTAATTATTCTAAAAACAGCTTATGGAACAAAACAAATTCTCAGCCTATACCTTTCCTAAATGATCTTGATCCTGGCACTTAATTATGATTCATCAATAATCCTACTTCTGCTTTAAAATATCATTTATCATCTATTTTTTTAAAAGTCCATTTCAAAACACTCGTAAAATATATAAAGAACAAATGAAAATCCTAAGAGAAAATAGACTAAAGTTATGAATAAGACATTCACAGGGAAAAAAAATGCAGAGCTGATTAATAAAACAAATATGTATAAACTCACTAATAATTAAGTAAATACAAATTAAAACATAAAGAGATACCATTTTTCATCCTATCATATTGGCAAAAGTTAAAAAGTTTCATAATACCAAGATAGGTGGAAAGAGATGTTCTCATTTACTATTGATAATGAGATATTCTTTAAGAAGAATAGGTGGCATGACCTAGTTAAATTAAAACACACATACTATTTAACACATTATTGTACTATTAGGAATTGGTCCTAGAGATATGCCTACAAAAGTATGCCAGCATTAGACATGCAGCAATATTGGTATCAGCAAGAAAACAATCCTTCAACCTCCGCCCCCCCAAACAACTTAATATTTACCAGAAAGTTAATAGTTAAATAGCTAAATGATGATATACATATCATGTTATACTGCACAAGCATTGAAAAGAACAAAACATAAACAGACCCAAAATATGATGGTACGATTTATACTATAATGGTGTATTAGTCAGGATTTTCCAGAGAAACAAAACCAGGAGGATATATATTTTTATGTATCTATTCCCACCTGATTCTTTCAAATAATGCTTGATAATTGAAGAAATTCCTTGCGGTGCCACGAAGTTACAGTCTCCTTCCTTCATTACCATTCCTTCAATAGGAGAGGTCAGAGGCTTCAAGATGCCATGAACTAACAGTTCATCATAAAAACTGAAATAAATCAATATATACAACATAATTATATACTGTAATTATCTCTAAAATACTATATATTCTAAGAATTCTTAGAAATTGTAATACTAAATAATAACTAGAAATTATCATATGATCAACTCATATGCTTTGTGTTAATAAAACATAATTCAGGTGAAGAACAGAAATGTTTTGAAAACTCATACATCTTTTGCTGACATTAGCCAAAGGTCTATTTTCTTGTATATTTCAAAATTAAAGTCAGTGAAGATAAGCAGAAGGCTATTCAGTACATCAATCTTAAATTAGTTAAGATTGACTTCCATCATAGCTCTTTTGTCCTCTCCCTCAAGACCAACATAGTAATTTATATTTACTGAGTCCTTATTGTGTTCCCTATATCTCATTTAATCTTCACAACATTATGAGGCATGTATTAAAGTGTTCCTCCTTTACCCAGGTTAACCATTTACTAGTACTATCAACAATGATAATATAATAACTTCACTATATTACAACAGGCAAAGTTTAACCCTGTTAAAAATGGATGATTTATATCGTTTTACATCACACAAGCAGTAAGACTGATTCCACCCCCATTCAACTAACTCACCTTTGGTGTTTTTTGGCATAATGAGGAGTGCGGGTGATGTACTGGGCACCCAAGTCGACTGTGCTCTGTGGATTATGAGGACTGTTGGCTGTGGTCATTCTTCCCCCTTGAATTGATTCACAGGAAAATACCTTAGCGTATTAGAATGAACATTTGCAATTTATGCTATTCACCCCATGTCACCCCAAATGGATTACTTTGCAGCTGTATTAGAAAACATTTTTAAATTGAAGGCTTTGTCATCTAACATTGTCAGGAAGTAGTTAAAAGACAATTTGGTCACTAATTTAAAAAAAATTTTTAAAGGACACATGAATAATGCAGCAGTGTTCAGCACTTTGCATGGTGCATTATTTTCACTACTTTGAAAAAAGGAATGAAGGGATAAAATAATGAATAAAATGTCATAATGAACCAATCAACGAATGCTTTCACTTTCAGCCAGGATTCATGAGAATAACCGTCCTCTGTAAACTACATCTTCGTAAAGTCTTGGTCAATGGGCACTCTGGGATCTCCTAATCTGGAGAAACGGGCAAAGGCATGGACAGGCCAAGATAAAAATACTCTTAGGCCAAGGTAAAAATATTCTTATTAGAGGCAGCGGCAGGCCCAAACTTTGCAAATTCTGGTCAGGATTCCTCCCAAGCCGCTTGGGCCTGGCTTCCAAGTGTGCCAGGTAGTCCTGCTCCGCCGCCACCGCAGCGGGAGTCGCCACCTCCAACTTCGCCCCTACTCCGGCCTTTGCCGGGCGACGGAAACCTCCGGTCACGTGACGAAGCGCGCAGTGCGCAGGCCCGGCCGCGCGGGGAGCCGAGCTGCGTGGTTTTCTTCGCAGGGTTTCTCCGGTGGGGTCGCCCTCACCTGAGAAGCTGGGGAAGGGGCCAGTCTTTCCTCACTCCTACCCACCCCTGCGATTTGGCTATTAGACAACCTACCTGAGTCCCCAGCCTTGTCCCACACAACGAGGTGCAAAGGTCGGGCCGTCTCCTTCTTCAGGAGCGCTGCGCACAAGCTCCCTGTCAGCCCGGCGCCTACGATCAGCACCCGCGCCATGGCCCGGTGTGTCCGCGGCCACGCTGGCGGGCCTGCAGTATGTGAGGGGGCCGCAGAGGCCAAGCTAGCGCTCTCTCGGCTCCACGCTCCAGGCCGTGACCCGTCCCCTGGGCAGTCCCGCCGGCTGGCCTGCAGGGGGCAGGAGAGAGGCGACCGGAGCCGCGAGGCCGGTCAGCCTTGAAGAGAGCCGCAAACCTCCGCTTTCCCCCTCGGGTTGCGTGTTGAGAACCGACTTCTAAAACTGCCTGGCGCCATCAGATAAACTGCAAATTCCGGCCTGCTCCTCGCCTAGAAAAGCCTGGAAATCAAATAGCTTAGAGTGCGAGAACCCTCCTCGCCACGGGGCTTCTGACCACAGTGGAGACCCAGCCCAAGGTGACTAAAGGGATAACTGTCTCTATCTTGTGGGACCCTTGCTCTCTTAATATCCTAAATTTGAAAGTGGGGAGGGGAGGGACTATACAAGCGACACCAGAGGAAGCTTTCTTATAGTGCCTTAATGGCCATTATTCACATAATAGAAAAAGATTGTGGAATCAAGGAGATATTTTTCTTAAACTAGCCCTTGGGCTTTGTGTATGTTTATGTATCTTCTTGAACCTCGGTTTCTCCATTTGTGAAATAAGAACGATAATGTCTACATTCCAGATTTGTGAGGATTAAAGATATTTGATTCGCCAGAAAACTTAAGACCAGTCAACTCTTCAGTAAGTATTGTTTTATGTCAGACACATTCCAAATGCTCTAAGGGCTATAAAGATGAACAAGACAAGGATTCGGGCCATTACACTTTTTTTTACCCCTAATATTACCCTAGAAATTCTCAATGAAACAACAAAAAGCAATGAGAAATGTGAACTATTAAAAAATAAAGAATTAAGTTACAAGAACATAGATAAAATTTTACCTGGAAAACCAGAGAAACTGAATATCTATAAGAACTAGTAAAATTGACAATGGTATAATGAAAACATTTACAACTTACAAGTTTTACTTTATGTCCGCATCATAAAGAAATTACTGTACATCAAATTGGTAATGGGCTAATATTACATATATCTAATAAGATAAAAACTAGAATATATGGGGTGAACATATATAGTCGAAGACATTTATAAACAAAAAAGATAGAACCGAACAGGAAAACATTGAATACATAGTAATTTACATGTAACTTGTATGTTACAAAGTACACAAGACAAAATAAAAAATAGTGAATAAATTTTTTGGAACACCCTTATTATACGAAATCTTAAAGACATAATTAAATGACAAAATCCAAAAGAAAATGTTCATAATTGGATAGAATTCTTGAATAGAAATGTAAAATACAATAAACATAGAAGAATGTTCAAAGTTTCTATATTTAAATACAACTTAAAGTGAGATACCATTTTTCATTTGTTAGGAATTGTTTTCTTAAGTGTTACATGTCTACCTTTGGCAAGAATGTAGCAAAACCCTTTAATGTATTACTGGTGGAAGCCTAAAGGACAAGTTTACTGGAGAACAGTTTGATAGTATATCAAAAGCCTTAAAACTATGCCCTTTAAATGAGACATTCCAAGTCTACAGATTTATTTTGGGAAAATAATGTACAGATATATATTAAGATTTATGTTAAAATGTGTTTACCTCTGTTATTAAAACATTAAAGTATACAATCAGAGGTTTGGGATATATGAAGCTACTAAAAAATGTTTTTGACTATGTAAGGATATATAGGAAACTACTCATTCTATAATCCTGGAAAACAGCTACAAAACCAGTAAAATCCCAGATTTTTGTAAACACACACACACACAAAAATATATATGCAGTATTAGAGAAGTATGAGAGGAAGAAAATGTACTTTATATTTTTGTATTAATTTCAAATATTTTATAAAGACCGTATATTTATAACCATATATTTGTTAGTTATAAATAAGATAAAGCTGATATGTTACAGAGAATAAAATAATAAGTCCCTGTCTTATAGTAGTTCATAGTCTAAAAGATTTCTCTAAAATTAAAAAGCTTAAATAATTGATTCTCAACCACATTCTAAAATCTCAAAATTGTCTAACTGGAAAGTCTATTTTAACTGCCCTCTGCCACCATTATTTTCCATATGTAAAGGTAGATACTAAGTTTAAGTGAGTTTGCCTAAAATTATACCCTATCTCGATGATGAGGCCAGGACAGGTCCTCATGGTCTTTTGGGTGTATTCTCCTGCTCTTTTCTATCATTTCTCCTGCTTCCTCATTTATATTTATAGTCATCATCTTCCACAGTCAGGCCTGAAACTTCATAATCATCTTCAAAGTTTCTCTTTTGTCATCCTTGATACCTATCTAAAGATACCTATTCTTTTTTTTTTAACACCAAGTTGAAATTTTTCATTTTGCTAATGTACAAACAATATAATAGTTCACTTTCTGTGATTTCTAAACACTTAACCACTGAAAAGTTTTGTGAGATGCTATGTCCTTCACAGTTCAGATGCCAGAGCCCAATTTGCCTTCCTTTCTACCCACCAAATTAATTTCTTTTCAGAAGTCTTGTTGGATGTTTTCTTTGTTGGCCTCTCCATGTTGCTGCTTAATTTGAAAGATTTCATTTTCTAATTGCACAATAATCCTTTCGATCTTGTAATTCTTACTGACCAGGAATACGCAAGTTAACTCCATTTCTCTCAATTTAGATCCAGCTGTGAGTTGCATGTTCTTTCGCTTCCAGTTTAAACCTCGAATATGTTTCCTTAACTTCTGGAGCTCTTTCTGTGCATGTTCAATCATATGAACTAGATTTTCACTATAGACTTTCCAGGCATTGCATCCATGCTGCGCCATTAGATCAGGATTCTTAATTCGAACCACTTGATGCTCTAACTGGGCTATAGAATTGTTTACACATTCTTGCCATGCAATAATGTCATTTTTCTGACCAGAGGAAGGGGCTGGAAGCTCATACTGCTTCATACTGAGCAATTTAATTGGCCAAGCAGCCAGTCTTTCAAATGCATTTTTTATTATATCGGTTTCAAAAGCAGAATAATCCGGGGCTGTCAGGTACTTCAGGTAGTTCTTAGTAGGCTGGTATCTGCGAGTTTCCTCTTCCACCAGCGCCGCAGCCGCTTCTCTCACACCAGGCGCTTCCTAACCTTGGTCAAAATATAGTAGTGCATCCATCACAACTTCTCTGGCCGCAAACCTGTACCCACCATTCTTAGGTTCGCCTGAATTTCCTATTCTTTTTTAACCTCTTTTCCTTTGTCTCTTAAACCCAATTCCATGTAACTGTATACCAGGAAAATCCAACTGTGGTCCACTTCTACCAGCAATGTACTAAAGTGCCTGTTTTACTGCATTCTTGTCAGTTGTGGACATTTGGCATTTTGAAAAGTAATCACCAACAGAGTAATTCATTACTTAGGTTCAAGCAATCATAAGGTCTTAACTGAATTATTACAATAGTTTTCTAACTGGTCTATCTACTCCTAGTCTATTTCCTGCACCAAGCTTCTAGATCAGTCACTACCATCCTCAAAAAGCTTTCAGTAGCTCTCAGTTTCATACATAATCAAGTTCAAATACTTGGTATAAAAGTATTCAGTAATAATTTCTCCAGCCTATGTTTATATCTTATCTTGATAACCTTCATACATCATGTGTTACAGCTAAATCGAATTGTTTTATGTTCTCTGAACACATCTTCAGATTTACCACTTATCTGTAGAAGTGAGAAACTTTGCTTATATTGTTCTTGAGTACAAAACATACTTTCTTGACTCGTGTTTCCAGGAGTTGTGAATTTGCATCAATTCTTCACTCTCTTCTTTTTTTCTTTTATGATCAACAATATGCTCTTGAAAAATTATCCAGAATTTGGGATTGTTATGACCATTGAATAGAAGTAACCATGGTGACTTGTGATTTCTCAGTCTTCAGAGAGTGGTATAGATACCCACCCTACCCTCCATCCCCAGTATTCAGATGGGTTATATTAGTTCAGAGCTATTGGTAACTATGGGTTTGTGGGTCCATGGTTGGCTACTGGCAGTAGTATATCTTTCTGGGAGAGCTAGGAATAGTCACATGACCTACAGGAAGTAAGATTACAAATTATCTGGGACAGATGTACTTATATTTGCTCTTCCCAGTCATTTGACCTTTTCTCTTCTATTTCTGATCTTTGCAATGCTGGCTTCTTCTGATCATTCAATTCCAGCTTAAAAGTCACCTAACATAGGCCTTCTCTAACCACTTAAACTAAAACAGCCACCCAGTGACTTTCTATTCCATTAACCTGTTTTATTTTCTTCATAACACTTAATCACTTTTAGACGTTATCTTGCTTTTTCCCCCATTTATTTTTTTATTGTTTATTATCTTTCTCATACTAGAATTTAAATACCAAGAGGGCAGAAACATTGTCATATTCAATATAGTATCCCTGACAACTAGAATCAAAGTTAGAATTCTTGAAGACTGAGAGTTCACTTTTTGCCTAGAAAGTATACAAGCCTTTCAAAGATAATAAAGTAAGGTAAGCTGAGTGATAATTCATTTAGATGATTTCAATATTGAATAACCTTTCTCAGAGAGTGCTTTTTTATGGCATAAGATGACTGTGATAATATAAACTATGCCAGTCATCTACAACTCTGTCTGTCCCCACTTAACTATGTTATTGATAAGTTGGGTAATTATTGATAGCATATCTAACAATTTTTAAGTGGGACGAAATGAAGATAAATAGCCCATGGGTCTATTTCAAAATCAGGATTTAAAAATATTTCAATAGGCAGTCACTGAAATTTAACCAAAAGAAAATTGCACAAGGATATTCAAAGTCTTACTCTTGTGTCTAGAAAATAATTTTACAGATTCGGGGAAGGAAAGCTTACAATTTTAATTTACCCTAAGCTCATTATGAGTTAACAGTATAATAGAGCTGCCAAGACAAAAAGTATGAACCTAAGCTATGATAAATGAAATACAGTGTGTAGAACAATAGAAGTGATAGTCCCACATTATTTAGATTGGCC